AAGTTGGTTTCTTCTCCAATTCGTCCCAATTCGGATAATAAAGAGTTCCGTCATTCATCTTTTCCTTTGTGATACGATACCCCTCGACTATTATTTTTTCGATCGATGTTTCTATTGTTTTTAGCGTGGGAGTATTCCATCTTGAGTAGTCCGGAGATTTCAATACTAGACAAGTATATCAGTTGAATCAAAATTTAATCCTATGCTGGACATTTGAGATATTGAAATACCCAGACTAGTCTCGCTCTCAAATGAATATGGGATCTCGTTTGTTGAGAGCTATCCAAACCATTTGTCGCAATGATACGTTGGTCTCGTGTCTCACAAATGTTGCTGATCCAACCCTTCTTCGCAGGTATAGGCAACGTGCATTTAATGATTTTCTGGGGATGAGCTCGACTTGAGCCAGGATGCCACGAGTGATAACAGGAGGGAGAAGTTGTTTGTTACCGTTACACCAAACGGATTCTCGATAAACGCTTTAGCATTGTTGGCAGGTTGATTGGCTCTCAAAGACCAGGGGAACGCAATTCAAAAGTTAATGCTCTTAGGACTTGTGAATGCATGGAGTCGCAACCCGTGGGAGTGTCTCAGAAGTGAAAAAGTTTATTCGTTCTTCGTTTGATTTGGAACTGAGTTTCTCAGGGTAGGAGTAGGTACGTTTTGATGTCATAAGACGAACCTTGCATCTCAAACTCGACCTCGAACAGGAAAACCAAAGAGAAGATCAGAAAAGGAAAGAAAGAAGATGCCTTGTGAATGCAGACAGACAGAAAGATATCGATCGATACCTAGCTAGTGATGATAATATGATAATATCACATTCATCCATACCTATCTCGAGCCTATCCATCCAACAATGAATCATCATCCATCTATCTCGCACGTCCCAATATGCGGACCGTTTCATTTTCATCTCTGCCAAAAGTCTAACGGAGGCTACGGAACAATTATCTCCATTTTAATTGGGGCAAACACCTGGTTGTGGAAAAGATGTGAGGAATCAGCATCGTTGAGATGTGATTAGTGTGGGGGAACTTGGAAGACACAAATAATAAAAAGGAGCGAGGGACCGAGGGAGCTTTGACTCTTGGAACCTTTCGACGGCCGACTCAATCAAAAGCTCGAAAGCTCGAAAGCTCGAAAGCTGGAAAAAAGGATGTTGGTCCCACATCCCACCAAAAACCCTGCAGATATCATGCAAGCTTCACCCATCTCTACTAAGCCCTTTCAAGAGATGTCAAGGTTCAAGGATTGTCAACCGGAAGATGTATCCATCCTTGCCATTCATTCAATTTCTTGGTTTTTTATATCCTTTTCGACGGCGATGGTGGATGCTATGTAACACAAGGCTTGAGAAGACACAGAGTACAAGGGGTGTGGTTACAAACAAATTGGTTGGGTCGACAAGATGATTATGAATGGCCGTGAAGAATTCATGTTATCCCGCCACTCTGGAATCGAATCTATCGCTCTGGTCGTAAATTTGATCTGGTGATAAGTTGATTGACAGATTGATAGATAGATTGATATGACGAACATTTTGAAACGGTTCTCTGGACGTGTTGGTCTAGACTTTCGGAGTATACGCAACCATGCAAACCGATTGTCGAATATTACTGTAGCCAAGGTCCATCTTCTTACAGTGATCAAACGATTAGATCACTTATTACTATATGGTCAATGTTTGGCTACCTACTCGGGTGCGTACCTACATCTACCATCTCTTTTCCAGCATTCCTACTGGAGTGCATTGACGAGCTTACCCTTTTCTTAAATGCGAAAGCTAAAGAAATTACAGCGGCGGTTGGCTCGAGTGGGATGGGAATATGAGGGGTATTCTCTGCATCAGCTAGCTTATCGTCATTGGTGTCAGGTGCGGCTGACGATAGTTTCCCTCCGGATGTTCATCCACTCTTCCCCTGAGTGAAGGCTTTCGAACTCTTTCTTGGCCTTCAGAAACTCACTCCCGTGAATAGGATTTGGGATTGCGAGACATTGTGTGGCTGATGTGATTGGTAGGCTTCTCCCATCTCGTCCTCCCCTGCTTCGTATATTGAATCAATGTTCAAATATGCCTCGGAGAATAAGTGAGATCCAGAGTTCCAAGCACTACACGATCAATCACACCAGTGGCTTTTCAGACACTTTACTTTCGAAAGATGTCACCATCTGACAAAATTGAGACAAACCCTTCAATCGGTAGAGATGGATGTTCACATAGTCATGACTGCCATTATTATTGTGAGATGAGAACCTGCATATCTCCATATCTTACAGACAGCTATTGGTCACTGCAATCCAATGTTCTTAAAACGAAAGCATTGAAACAGTTTAGTGCTCACATCGATCGTGAAACCAGAACCTACAACGTTCAAGTGAAAAATTGATATTAGGAATGCTCGAATAGCTTCAACTAATTTATTTTCTCGTCTTTCGCAAACATATCAATCTACTCGTTATCTAATGTGATAAGAAGAATAATAACATTTCCTTTCATAACCATCCTCAATATATTTCGCAAAAATCATCTTATATAAATCCAAGAATCATATACGTCCATCCCTTCCATCCATTTTTATCGCGACTCTTCTGCAATTGGCCCAAAATCCGCTTCGAAAACCACCTGCATTCACAAAGACTCCTCGATCACAAAATTAGCCTAGTGACTCGCTTCGTTGGGTGTACATCCACAACTCGAGTCAATGAACCAATCACAACAATTGATTAAGTAATTCTTTGTTACAAAATTCTCATTGTTTAACGCTCTATTGATATATTTTTACTAACGAGGCATGAACATCAAATCAAGCAAACAACTTGATTTTCTACCTAGCTTCTGTGGTCCAATGGTTAGGATTCCACCCTTCCAAGGTGGAGGTTCGTGTTCGATTCACGGCAGTTGCAATTTCTTTTTCCTTTTTATTGTTATATATTTTGGAGACAGAGTTCGAGGCAGCAGAGATGAAGCTCCATAGTTTGAGTATGTTGCAATATTTTTTGGGGATTTCATCTTCTGAATAGGTCTTCTGAATAGGGAGCCGGATGATAGATAGAATTGCATCGGCTGACATCCGGGCAGTAAAACAATCAGAGATCTACTCGTACTTTGGAGTTTACAATTATTGCATTTTACTTCATTTTTCTCTATTCAGATTTTACTCGGAGATGTTTTGCATGGTATTTCAACGGGTAGTTTGGTCTTTCACATCTACTGTACTCGTACTGTGCCTCGAATTTTCAGGGTCACCAAATTGAGACAGACGAACACGATACGGAGTACATACATACCAGTATCTTTCAGGAAAAGTTAAATCACCGTTCCAGACTCTCCAAGTGGGGGGGACCCAGGTGTCGCAGTCACAGACTCACAGTAGGTTGTGCATTGGATTGGATTGGCGCGTGAGTCGTTTGGGTAGTGAGTGGGGCTGGCTGGCTACACGATATCATATCATATCATCTCATCTCTTCCCGAGAAAAGAATTTAGAGTTTCGAATTTGTGATATTGCGTTTGATAGTTATAACTTGTTACCTACCGTAGATGTTTTTCATTCTTTTATTGTTTATGATAGGAGAAGAACGGTATGTTTTGGTGCGTGCTAGTGGGATTGTGGTACTGTAGTGAGTGCGAGGGTGTGGAATGTGTACCGACGTTGATTCTTGATGCGGTGGGTAGCAGATATATAGCATCTCATGGCTTGTATCGCGATTTGATGGATGAATGTAGATTTATTTGGGGATGTCTACCGGTAGATAGTGTGGATTGGTTGCTTCGGGGTAGGAGTGTTAGGGGGACTTGGTATGTATGTATATGTATATATATATATATATATATATATATATATATATATATAAATTACCTAGGTACTCAAAGTCAAAGTAAAACAATTCCCTCAAATATTTAATACCTACCTACCTATCTACCTCTATAACATACTAATAAATATTTCAACAACACAACATAATCCTCCCTTCTCCTTCCACCTATCTCCAAATTTCAAACTCTACACAATATCATTCTTATGCCTTCTTTCAAAACATACATACCTACATACCTCATAAATCAAATCAAATCAAATCAAATCTATAAACTCGAAGAACTCGAAGAGATAGATATATGCTATACATACCATCGCGGCGATACTATAGCACCAATATGCCTTTTCAACAGTACAGTACAGTACAGTACAGTATAGTTAGTACCAAAAAAGCGAGAAGGATTATTGAGAGTGAAACCGAAATCGAAATCGAAATCGAAATCGAAATTGGGATACTGGGTCTGGGTCTAGACTGGAACCTGAGGCTTGGAGCTTGGAGCTTGGAGTTTGGAGTTTGGAGTTTGGAGTTTGGATTGGCTGGATATAGATGGATGGATGGATGGATGAATGGATGGATATATATATATATATGATTCTAATGAGAATATACTTGCTTATACATTACTCATTACACATTACTCTGATTTGATTTGATTTGATTTGTTTGATTTATTTTAGTTTCTACAGATCTATCGGTATACCGAATGGGGTAGTCGAAGTGTTTGCTACTGTATTCCGCAATATCTACAAGTATCGTATTGGGGGTTGATAAATGTGACTTAACCTAACCTTACGGTCCTGAGATGTTTTTCTGATGACGTGGGATGGCGTGGGATGGGAGGGATGGGAGGGATACGTATAAAGAAGATAGATAATTTCCATACCTATATAATTACGCTTCCTTGTCCAGAATTATATTCATATCCATATTCATATCCATATCCATATCCGATTGAGTTTCCTAGAGTGCTTCTCGTGGAATTCTTATTGATATCAAATATCAATCAATCTTATAGTAGGCAGATCGCGCAGCAGAAGCTCTCTCTCTCTCTCTTCTTCAACTGTGTTTTCGATATTCATTCTCATCTAGGATGGCATCTAATTACCCCCTCCCCCCCTTTGCTCTCTTCAACCCGATATCCCAAAGCCTGGCAAAAAATCTCTTTCTTTGCTTGACTCTTATTTTCCGCCTAGAACTCCTGGTGTCGGATATATATACATGCACACATGTACAAGTATATGTACAAGTATATGTATCCCCCCCTCCTCCAACCCATTCCTAAGCACACAAGCCTCAAGCTCCAAAAAATGCAAAATTGAAAAACAATCACCAAAGATCTTCCTTCTCATCATCACAACAACATCTCATCTGTATTTCAAGACTCTATACATCAAAAAAAGACTTTTCTCCTTCCTCCTTCCACTACTCACTTCTCCATCTTAAGAATTTCTATCCCTCAACCGTTCGTAATCCCCACATCTTCACATCCTTTCTATATCCACTCATACATACATACATACATACAATACCATGATACAACACCCCCCAACCGATCCCCTCCATTCCAGACACGCCAATCATCAAATTACCACAACCACCCGTTGACGCCCATCCCGGAAAGACAATCATAATATCACACATCTCCCCAACCGTCTCATCCGATGATGTCTTTTCTCTACCGGCGAATTGACTTCATCATCGAATTCTGGCGTCGATCGATTGTTGTCCCGACGGATGATTTGCCTGCAGAGATCGATGAAGACTTCGTCTACATTTGCTGTTTTCCATTTCCATTAGTATTGTTTTTCTCGCTAGCGTCTATCATCTTTTTTCATATTCCCATTCCCACTTTTCGTCACCCTTCATCCCTCACTCTCGAAACCATATTCGTCTCAACAAGAAAAAAGAAAAGAAGAAGAAAAAGAAACTCACCCCTCCTCCTGGCACTCGTCTCATAATACGGCGCATTCCCCCAACTCTGACTAACATTAAAAGCGGCCTGTCTACTGACCACCCGATCTTGTTCCAGATCACTTTTATTCCCGACAATCACTATCGGGACATTTTCGTCATCTTTTATACGTATGATGGTTTCGCGAAGTTCGCTGAGTTCATTGAGGGAGCTTTGCGAGGTGATACTGAAGACGAGGAGGAATCCTTGTCCGGTTTTCATGTAGAGTTCTCTGGGGAGAATGTGTGAGTGGTGGGCTCGGGAAAGGATGAGTGGAAGAGAGGAATGAAAATAGAATTGCTTGGTATGTACCTCATGGCGGCTGGAAGAGTGTTAGTTTATGTTTATGTATCATGTGATAAGTGAGATGAGGAGAAGAACTTACTGAATTGTTCCGTACCCGCGGTATCTAATCTACATTTCTCCATGTCAGTATCATCTTCTTGATCCCGTGAGAGGATAAGATAAACTCACATCTCCAACATGCATTGTCGTCCCTATCGAACCAAAGGGCCGCGTTAGCATCCTGATCATGTGTCTCCACCTCCATGCCAAGACGGAGAAGAAATCTCAAAATACTCACATCAACCTCAATAACCTTGCGGTACGAATCCTCAATCGTTGGGTCATAACTTTCGATCCAAATGTTCTGAACAAATTGTGCTAAAAGGACACAAATCACATATCAGTATCTTCACGGCGTATTTTGACAATCCCTTCCTGATAATTCCCGAATCTCCATCTCTCGTTCCTTTCACGTGTCTCCCCACTTCGACCTTCCAAAATTTCACCCCCCCCCCCAAACTCAACTCAAGTCCCCGGAGGAGAGTGGGTCAAGGTCTCGGCAAATAAATAAAAATGATCCTTACCGGTTAGACAACTCTTGCCAACACCACCTTTGCAGACGAACAAAAATAATTAGCCATCAACATTCTATCTTCAATTGATACATCTCTCTCTCTCTCTCTCTCTCTCTCTCTCTCTCTCTCTCTCTCTCTCTCTCTCTCTCTCTCTCTCTTTCTTTCTCTATAATCGATCATTCTCTTGAATTGAACAATTAAATGCAGAGGGAAGGATATCAAGGGAAAGAAAAACTCACCAGCACCCAAAACCACAATATGATAAGTTCTCCTAAAAACCACCAATCACCATATCAGCCAGCTATCTTTTCCGAACCCCCCTCCCGAATATAAAAATTTTACCCCTGATTCATACCTCCGTGCGTTCCATGCACCAACCACCGACCCCAAACCTCAAAAAAAAGATAGAAAGCAAGAATGAATGAAAAGAAGAAAGGAAGGAAGGAAGGAAGGAAGGAAGGAAGGAAAGAAAAAAAGAAAAAAACTTACTGTGAATTCCTCGTCGCCATCTTGAATTAAAATCTGATAATTTGTCTTTCCTCCTCCGATCCCTCTTGATATATATCTATACAGATAGATACCTAGATAGATGGATAGCTAGCTAGCTATCACACGTATCCACGTCTGTACGAAATATTCCCAAGATATCAAAAAAATTCACACGAGACGTCCGATCCAATATCTAGTGATTTTCACTTCTCCCCTCTTAATCAATAAAAACAATATCGCATACAAAAAAAATTCCTTTTCCACCACTTTTCACCTCAGAGTAAAGCAAAAAGGCGTAAAGAGATCTAGTAACGTCAAGTACCCCCCCAAAATACAATCAGAAAAAAAATATTTAAATATATATGTAGATAAAGTAAATCGAGTCGTAACGTAACGTTTCTTCAAGTCTAGTACAGAAAACCCAAACGGGTTGGAAGAATGGTAAAAATAAAAAATAATAATAGTAAGAGTAATCAAAAAAAGGGTCGATAAGCTCAACAGCACTTGTTGGTGGCTTAAAGTAATATATATGCAAGTTGGACGTTGAACGTTGATGTGAGGGAGAGGATCGTTTGGTTTCGTTTCGTTTCGTTTGACGCGTTGCGGGAGCGAGGGCTCTTCTTTTTGAATTCCCCTTCCAAAATTGGGATGAGCCAATAAGTTTCCGCGGTTAATCTTTCCAGGTTGTTTCCGTTCCGTAGGTCGGGAAGTGTTTGATTGAGTAAGAATGTTCAAGCTTAGTGAGTGGTGGGTGGTGGATGGTGGATGGTGAGTGGTGAGTGGTGAGTGTTGAGTGTTGAGTGGTGCAATGGAAATCTTCGCCTTTTCTATAAAAAATGCCTCGGACTCGGAGGGTTTTATTTATATGGATATATGGAAGGTTGGGATGGATGGATGTATAATATGCAGGTAGGATATCCCTAGGTCGTAGGTATGTAAAAGATTCTTGTAGGTACGTATTCTTTTTTCGTAAGACCAAGACCAAGACCAAAACCAAAAGACCAAAAGACCAAAATTAACAGCGAAGCGAAGTGAAAGGAAGTGAAAAGGGAAGATTGGTGAAGTTATATAGGTCTATATATATATATATATATACACATATAAATATATGGATTGTATATATATTTGATAGGTAATAAATGATATATCAAGAGGATCGAGTCGAATCATCTATGAGGCACCCAAATCCGCACCGTTTCGTCTGGCTGACTCTTGGGTTGCCCGGTGGTTTATGTGTTATGTGATATTTGGGGGGGTGGTGCAGTTGATTGCAGTAGCTGGTAATTTATCCGGATCATCTATTTTTCCTCCCGGGCGGGTGTATACCGGTATGTCTGGCCTGGCAAATGCAGGTAGATAGGTCGGTCGGTATGAAAGTATGTATGAATAAGATTCTCTTATATCCCGGGTGTTGAATAGAAGTTGGTAAAGTCAGATAGATATGGATATCGGAGACAGATGATGGTTTCGATGTTGTGTCTATGAATAAATAGGAGAGTGAGCTCACCAGCTCAAAAAAGGAGTAAGGGGATATCTCAAAGGAAGCGATCTAGAAGGGAAGAAAATAGCAAATATAATAGCAAATTAACAACAAATAGAGTCAGTCAATACTCGAGTGTGTTTATTCAAATAAATAGAGAATTGGATGAAAAGAGGTAGTCGACGCCACCTACCCATTTCTCCAACGCCAACCCAGTGAATTAGGAAGCACACTAGAAAAAACGATATCCTCAAAAGAAATTAAACACAAAAATTAAACATCTTTTCATGCTGCGACCCTTATTTCGTTTGTCCTCTCTTGACTCAAACCTTACTGAACTTTAACTTTCTACGATTAATCATCCATGTGCTCTCTCGTGCCAATCGATATCGACCGACTTCTCGATTCATTCATCCATCCATTCATCCATTCATTCATCCATCCATTCATTCATCCATCCATTCATTCATCCATCCATACCACGATTGTATTACCCGAGATACATACGAGTACCAGGTAGGTACTTATCAACCATTTTATCGTCGCATCTGCAAATGCACTTTTCAGGTACGGGGGTCCCGGGAGCGTGTGTATTGGACCCTGAATTTTTCATAACCCCTGGTGGGAACCTCTTTTTACCTGGGTAACATGCACAGCCCTAACGATGGATCACATCACGGCGAGGAAACCTGGACGCCACGTTGTGTCTCTGTTCTATTCTATTCTTCAATTTTTATTTTTGGAGGAACGCTGGAGTGGAGGTCGAATAGTACGAGGAAGCGAAGATGGAGGTGGATGGGAATAGAACAATCCCATTCCCGTGATGTGATGGAATATGGATGGAATCTGCAATCGAAACTCCTTATGGATTAGATTTGAAGGAGAATCTTCCTCTGACCATCCAATCCCACACCAGAATCTTTCTTTTGTCAACAGAAAGGAGCACTAGGCAGATTTCTCTCCCACCTTCTCGTACGATTTTCCATCCACGCAATGTTCATTCCCTATCCACTGTCTTCGACACTATACCACACCACCACACCACCCATCTGGTAATCCCTCGTCTGTTTCGTCATACGCATGCACCTTCGCCTCACTTAATCGAATGTCCAGCCCTCTTCAGCTCAACACCACCTCACCCAGTCCCAAAAAGTTGTGTAAGGATAGCAGCCTTGAAATTCGGCCCTTGGGGGTATAGTTACTCGGGTTCCGGTGGTGACCCTCACCCCAGACGAAACACCACTTCCGGACATATCAAATGCAATGTACAAGTCGTGTCACATACTAGTCTTAGCTTCCACATCGTTTCGTTAATTCTTTCATCTTTGAGCTGTGTATGGATTCTTTCCTTCGCTCAATCGAATCGTGCGGTGTTTCAATTGGGGTTCTTGGGATTTTTCGCCGAGAACTTGGTGATATGCTTGCGCTGGACAGGGTACTTTTCAGTGCCAAATGATCGTCCTGCTCGGAAAATCGGATGTATATCACAGCTACAGTTGTGAGTCAGTCTCATTGTCCTGGAAGTATCTCCTCGGAGGACTTCATTTGGAATGCAATTGAGTTCTGCATCTGGAAAAACTTTCCACTAATGCTTTCTGTCAACCATACGTCATACTTCATTTTCACACGTTATAACGCGGTATCAAATATTAGGGTTAGGGTTCCCAATATTGCATTCTTCAGGATGTTACTGCATGCAACATTAGCCTAATCATCTCATCTCATCTCATCTCATCTCATTCCATTCTCCAATCTACCAGCCAAACATCAACCCTCAACTCAACATCTAAGCAATCTCACTAGCGCGAGTCCACAACCTTTGACCCCTATCCAAGTACTCTCTCTCATACCCAACAATCTACAACAAACAAATCTGAGTATCCCAGCCAAGAAACAACCATAAACTCCCATGCATATCATCCGATGCAAATGTTGCAATGCCATGTGCAAACCATGTTCGCATTGCGCACAAGGTAGCATCTGCTAGAAATAGATGGAAGGGAAATGAGACAGTAGACGATACGTTACAACACGCTATTTTCTCTCGTAACTAAGGGTATCTGTTGTTTTTATTTTCTCCTCATGTCTACCTAGTTTACCTGATGTACATATGTAAATACGTATTGCAGCGTGTTGGAATCATAACCTGGGGTTTGCGGATAGTCCTTATATTCGGAGGTTGAGTTGTGATACGTACCTATCGATAGTATGTTTTTGTATGTCGTATAGCTACTGTAGCTACCTACCTCATTGCATGATATAATATTAAAACGGATAATTAGTTTTATATGCCCAGGTAACAAACAGTGGTTGATTTATGGTATTAGGCGATAAGGGGTTCACGAGCTGATAATTCCACGATACTGATGATTCTTGAGCAAATATATCGATTCCATCAATGTACAGAAGAAGTCTTGGATTGAACCGAGCATATGCACGTGTCATGTATATAACCTTATCGCTTCCGCATGTTTCTTTCTATATTGTTTCTATCCGTATCTTCATTTCCGTCTCATTATATGATGATAATATGAAGAATATCTGTGTTAAATACCTATCCATACGTTCTCATTCCGGAGAGCTTTGTCTATCCCAACCCCAATGATCATACCGATACCAGAATCCAATGAATACAAAATATTAAGTATCATGCATATGCATATGCATCTTACCCCTCATTTACACCCCCTCTCCTCCCTCATTCACACCCCCAAACTAATAAGGATCCCACTCTAACCTCCTCTCCAACAGAAAAGATTCCACCGGTACCCCCCTCCACTTCTTCTCCCCCTCCCTCGTCACATTGAAAAACTCCACCTCAAACCCCATCACCTCTTTCCAACCCCTAATCAAGCGTCTCCAATAACACGTCTCCGCCGCCGGCGTAAGATATCTCTCTCTAAAAACTCTCACGCTCCTCTCCGCAATCTCCTCTATCTCCTTCTGATCCTTCTCCTCCACCAACTCCACCATCTTCTTTTCCAACCCCGCAAACTCCTTATCCACCACGATGTAATTCTGTTCCGGCCCATCCTTCTTCATCAACGGATGGAAAAATTCCATCCACTCCAACTCATGCGCCACAATCACCGATCGGCAATTGCGCAGATACTTCAGCCGCGCGGAATAGGAGTTTCCTTCCGTGTGCGCCAGAAACTTGTACTGACAATGCTCATCCATACTCTTCAAATCATTCTTCATACTCCCCTCATTATGCCAATCCAACGTCTTCACATCCGCCCACGCCTTTCCCTCCGTCACATTGATAAATTTCTTGCGCACCTCCAGATTCATCGTCGCGCCGCGCCACAATAATTTATCAATCTTCCGAGTCCACGGCCACTCGCTCTCGGTCAGGATGGCTTTCATCTGCATTTCTCCGTAGCTACCGATCTTCGTCTCGGGCCACGACCAGAACCCGTATTCGGGCATGAGCCATGTTTCGTGATTCTGGGCTTGTCGCGCGTAGAGCCATTGAGGATGTCCTTCCATCTTGTCGTCCACGTTCATGGTAAATTCGATGTTGGGGAGGGGCTCGGGCGAGGTGAGCATGGCGCGGTGCAGAGCATGCAGGGTGGCGATGCCGCGGGAGTAGATTTTGCCGTAGGTGTCGATGATGTATAACTGTGTTCTTGTTACTTTTATGTCTATCTCATCAAACTCCTCTTTCACTGTCTAAAAGACTGTCAAAAGAGAAAGAACCAAGAACACAAACCTGCTGATCAAATATCATGGCCCGGATAAACCCATTCAGCGCCGGCGTATCATCCAATTCCTTCCTCGTCACCTTCTTATTCTTCCTCAGCTTAACCGGTCTCTCCACCTCCTCAAACAGTCCCGGGAACGCGACATCGCATTGCTCTTGCGTCAAGAACAGATTCCGATAATCTCTCGTGTAATTCCACGTCCCGTCGAATCCAAATCGTCCACTGATATACTCCGAATCCTGTTGCACATCCGATCCATGGCCGACAGTGGGGGCATATATTCGCGGAGGCGGCGCTGGAGAAAACTTTTGGGGTCCCGTGGTATAGAGGAAGACGAGGAGAGTGAGAAGAAGCGCGAGGACAAACGGATAAGGACGTCGCGCAGTCGCCATGGCCAGATCGTTAAAAATCGCCATATTGATCCCGATTCTCTCCACGCATGAAGATGAAAAGGAATGCACCACGTTCAAAGAAAAAAAATCAAGGTACAAGAGAATCCGATGAGTAAGTACAGGTAAGGGGGAATGCCAATGTAACATTTACGTCAAATTCCATCCATTACCCGAAATACAATTCTCGCGCCGCAGAGATACATACATACTCCACAAGTAGCTACTAGGTAGTTCTTTACCCTTTGCGAGCATCGAGTGTGGCGGGCTTACACTGATAACCGCTCCATATCTGTATGGATACCTACAACCGCACCCATTATCAGAAAGAGCCAAGCAAGCGCATGAAAGACCGACCGAGAAAATTCCCACGAAAAAGATGCCGCACACCCACCCACCATCATCTCCCCATCCCAGACCGAAAAAAAGGAACAAAAAACTTCGCATCCAAGAACCCCTTGAACACTCTATCCACAGTGACGAGCCTCCTTCCATCTCACCCCCACTCATCCTTACCTTGGCCGGACGAATAGAGACAGATCCCTTATCCCCAATCCCCGAATTCAACCATGTTCCCAGACATCCAATTCATAATCCCGTACACAGCAAAGGAAACTTGATTTCTTCATCACTAAAATGAAGAGATATTGTGGGGTGAGGTGGACTTTGAAGCAAACATTCAAACGTTAACCCATCCAAATGGTTTAAATTTAGTTGACTTTCGGGACTTAAGGTTAATTAATTCCCCAAGCGTCGTTCCCTACATGATTTTCGGCATGGGCCGAATAACGGTAAATCTAATCTAATACTTATGGAAAGACACCTGATATCTAAAATATAAGAGTGAGGTCTCTCTCTTTATATACATACAGTACACAATAGTGTTGCACATCGTGTAACAACAGATTGTTTATCCATTTATCAAAATTATTGTATTCTACGCTGTGCATGTACTCGCAATATAAAAAATGCTGAAGCCAAGAGATCTTCCAGGGGAGAACTCGGGTGCTTTTATCCGTTCTACCAATCGGATATGTACAATATGCAGTCGATTTAATTTGTACAATTGCTACTTGCTATATTATTAATAAGGAGTACATTGAAATAAAAACTTCAAATACAAATACTCATCATGTACCTCAGAATATTGATACATAATATGATTAGATAGTCCGGGTCCAGATGATTTACGCTTTACCATTTTTTTTACAACCATGCACAGGCTCACCAGCCAGGCCTTAACAATTACTTGTATTGCATATATATCATGGGGGTGCTGATCTTCCTCGCCAATCATGATAATAAGCCCTTCTAAAGGTATTTCAAAAGCTCCATTCCCAGATGCAATCATTACCAAAAACTCCGTAGCCAGATGTGCAGCCTATTGACCCCCAATATCCATGACACCAATAGCAATCCTGTTCCAGAAACGCGCCTCTGATGCAGTGATAGAAACGATGCGCCTTGGAAACACTTTTGTTCATCGTGCATATCATGCTCCTCCCAATCGATCATATATGTACAAACTATGCGGTGATCTCTCGTATATCGCATGCAAATTACTTCATGGACTGTTTACGCTCATGTTTCGGTAATGTCCTAGGTTCTAAACTCCTCGCTTGATCTCGTTCGAGCAGAAGCGAAAGTTGTGACTTGCTTTTGCTTAAAGGTCCCGATGGGCTTGATGCTAAGCTTCCTGATATAGGACTAGGAGGAGCCGCTTGTGAAAATGATTTCTTTGTAAAGAGATCTTTCATAAGAGCTCGAGCTTTGCCTTTGCTCGGTCTCTCTGGCGACGCGGGTGCTGCTGCAAGTTGGTTACCATTTCCTAGATCGAGGTGACCAGTTGCATCAGTCAATGTTGGCGCCGAGCTGACCATGCCTTTAGACTGGTGTTGTAAAAGATTTTTCCCACTCGCTTTCCTATAACCAGGGGGTTTACCATTGCTCGAATCCTTAGACGTGGTCGATGCCGGAGAATCTGGACTTGAAGTTTCAGGTGGTAACATGCTAGCTGTTTTAACATTGTCGTGAAGCATTCTTTGTACCTTGAACTCAGCCTCACTGACTTGAGGTACTGAAACCTGGTTGTTTGGTAGTGTCTGAAGGTTGTTGGAAGGCTCAGGCTGAGTGGGCTCAATCTCAATACTCTCCTCGCGAGTGCTTGCAAGTTTGCGCGAACCACCCACAGTTGGAGCGGCCGATCTGGAGGGATTCCGCTTGGTCGGCGAGGTTGTGGTTCGCGGTGTAACGTTTTCTTGCGTGTTCTGATTTCTGACTGGCAGTACAGATAACGTCGGCAGCCTCCCCAAAGTTCTACTCTGTTGTCCTTGTCCACCTGGAGCCCTCGCCGAGCTATCGTTCGAAGACTGTGAAGTTTGCGAACTCTGTCGCCTGACAACAATTGGTCTCTTCTTCTTGGAAGCTGAAGCAACAAATTTCTTACTTGCCGGTGCAGGCATTAACTTTCTATCAATCTTCTCCTTCTCGATCTTCTCCTCAATAGTAGCGGTATGCTCAAGAATTGGCGAAGGCGATTGTACAACGTTCTTGTTTGTGCTTGTGCTACCAGACTCGTCTTCTGAAACTGGCGGGGATATGAATCGTGCAGTCGGCCGAGGACCGTTTGCAGAAGGACCTCGAGTCTTTTTTAATATTGGAGGTGGCATAGGAGCAGGTGCCCGGGCGACTGATGTCAGCGTTGTACTTGATCGGCTATCGTTGCGAACACGAGCAACAGAAGTAGTCGAGGCAGTCTTTCCAATACAGGCTACACTATTCTGATCATTGAAATTCAGCATGGGGCTCCACGGTTCATCAACGGGTTTGCATACCATTGGCTTTTCATTTTCATAGCGATTGGGCGGTCCTCTGAGTGGCACAAAAGTGTCACCCTCTGAAATATGGACGAAAAGTCGAGCAACAGTTGAAGCATCCAACTCTCGACTTCGACTCCCCCATATTCGCCACCAATAATTCTCTAAACGCTCAGCTGTAGGGTCGAGAAGTCTTCGTTTTGTTGTGGTATAGACTAGAAGACAATAAGCTTGATGCTTTTACTTTTCAATCAAGATATGTAGGTACCTTTCCAAAATCTGGCAATGTCTGCAAGATCCAAAGGATCATTCTTGATTCTCTCAATGGTGCTTCCAATCTGAGGAGAATTGACCACAATGCCCTTGGGCAATATCAATGCCATCTTCTTCACGTCGCCAGAACCTAAAGTTGTAAAGCGACTGCAGCTCTTCTAAGGCAGGCAGCTAGCCTACCCAGAAGTTGCTGCGTCACCGTGAAGAAGAAAGGCGCTTTAACAGCTAAGAAAGCTGAAAACTAAAGTAAGGAATTAAAATTTGGTAAAGATTAAGTATTGGCCGGTTATAGAAAGGGACGGGAGATCGGTGACAAGTAAATCTGTGGAAAGACAAGGTTGTAAGGAAGAGATCCAGGATATTGACGATGAGAAAAAAAAAGCTAGTGAAGCTAAGAAAGATAGTATGAGATTTTAGTTTATGAAATTCCAAAATAGAAAATAGAAATTCTAGAAGGATTTTTTTTTCTCCAAGCTTCTCATTAATAAGAATCCGAGCCCGAGGGGATAACAAAGCAAAGCAGAGAGAATCGAAGAGGGTTAATAACTTAAGGTTTTGGTTATGTATACTTGGGTAGGTAGGTAGGCAGGCAGGTAGGTAGGTATCATTTTTGTACGTACCAAGGGGGGCAGTTGATTAAAATGATAGAAAAAAAAATGTTATTGGTTCGGAAATGATCCGAGGAATGAGAATTTGTTGAATATGTGAATATGTGAATTTGTGAATTTGTGTGGATTTGATTTGATGTGAGGAGGAGGAGATAGGAAGGTCGGTAGGGAGTTTCGATTGCGAGTTCACACCAGGGAATATTCTGAATATATAATATGATATCTCAAAGTCGATGAGAGAGAAATGGCATGTGAATAGAGATTGATGATGGTGAGATGATAAGATGTGAAGTATCTCTGATTGAAACCATTGACTTGTATTAGGTGAGTCGGTAGGTGGGTAGGAAGGTAGACAAGGAGACAAGGAGGCAAGTAGACAAGTAGATAAGTAGACAAGTACCGATATCGATGGTCGTCAAATGGCACAGGGTAACTTTTTCATTCGAGGGAAGAAAGGTTCGAGTTGGAAAGATAAAATTCTCCAATTTTCCATTGGGTAGGCTGGTACGGTAAGGTCCCTGGTAGGTATCTGGTAGGAGGCAGGCTGATGAGGGAGGAGGTATGTGTGTAGATGCGTGTAGATGTGTGTAGATATGTGTAGATATGTGTAGATATGTGTAGATATGTAGGTACAAACGACAAACGGTATTGTTATGAAATGCAATAAATCATCATTATTCTTCTTCTAATTGTTTTCATTTTGGCTCCAGTCAGGTCAGTCGGAACAGAATAACGTATAACGTGCACGGGGTACTTGCGTCTTTGCGTCTTTGCGTCTTTGCGTCTTTGCTTCTTTGCTTCCGTACAGCACAGCACAGCACAGCACAGCACAGTCCAGATAGAATAGGTAGGTACCGACCAGCAGATATATATGAAGCAGCGCGTGTTTGGAATCTCCGTTGAGAACGAAGACAGTAGTAAGTAAGTACAGTACAGTACCTACACAGCAAACTGCAATAACTCGAGTGGCTAGATATCGGTAGTAGATGGGAAGGATTTCATTGGCAGTCCTGATTTTTTATATGATTAATTAGTTGAGAGCATTTGATGAATTATGAGACGGATTGATTGATTGATTGATTGATTGATCGGCAATTAGACTCGGGGAACCATAGGAATAGAGTAATAATAAGGAGACCAAATGGAAATCAAGTTTTGCACATCTTTTCTTCTTAATTTGGAAGTAATAACCTACTTTAGGTAGCGTCTCTCTCTCGGTCTGTTTGTATGATCTGGATGGGTACGATATGATGGACCTGGTGCCAGGTTGACGGACAATATGGGTATGGGTATGAATATGGATATGGATGAAAGGGAATTGAGCCTGGTAGATCATATAAAGTGGATATGACAAGGCGACTGTTGTTATTGTTGGAGACTCTGAGACTTTTTTGCGTTGGCTTTTACATCATGTATGTACAAAACGGTACACTACTCGGTGTTGTTTTAAATGAATGCCGACCTTATTTTAGCTAGTGTATATCACACCAAAATTCATTAAAAGTCACCTATTTTAAAATTCAATATTATTTCAATTATCAATAATTCAAGATATGAAACTCTATAATTATATAAATATTTAATTGAATTTTATAAATCCTTTTTCAAATTAGAATATTTCGATATAATTATCGAATTATTTAGAGAATTAAAATATTGAAAGTATAGAAATGAAAATTCGCTTATTTTCAGGCCTTGAATGCCTAAGGCCAACCCTAAAAAAACATTATTTAAAAGGGATTTTCATTTTACTAAAGGTATTTCAATTTGATTTCAAAAACTCTGAAATTTTGTTATCAGATTTATTCATTAATATTCTATATATTTTCAAAACTGGAAGAATTCAATCATATTAGTTCTTTTAATATTGAATTTTGAAAATACTAAGTAAGCATAGTTTTGGGTGAGGAATTCGGCTATATTTGAGGGCGGCATTCATTTAAAACAACACCGAGTACTGTGCGAAGCAGACGCAATCCATCGGAAGACTTCTCGAGTCCGTAAAGCATGGTCAGTAGGTAATGTGACGAGTAATCATTTATGTAATGGACTTCATCTAGTCCTCCCTCTCTCTCTCTCTCTCTCTCTCTCTCTTTCTCTCTCTCTTTCTCTCTCTCATTCCTTCGCTCTTGTTAATGCTTGAATCCTTGAACTTTTCTACTCCAACAACAACACTCACTCACGAGAACAATTATGGGTTTGGAGTGTTCTTCATGGGATATTAGCTTTTAATCAAATTAAAACGGTGGAAACTCTATGGGAGTAGCCGGTGCTGATGCTTAGTAGAGAACTCAAGCCAGGGTTCTTACCTAGGTATCACATTCTACTCGGCCATCATCTCTTCTTTCCTTCTCTTGGAGAGATATGGTTATCATTGATATCGTGATTCGTTTATATAATACTGTGGGGATGGTGAGGTGTTGCAAAAAGAAGGAATGAGAAAAGTCGGGTAAGGGAGGGAAGGTGTAAATGAAAACCGTTTGTCTCTTTCCCAGGATGCAACTTCCTTCGATACCGGTACCACTCATGTATGCTCCTTTCTTTTGCCAAGGATATTCGATTGTCACAAGAACTATTTCGTGCGTACACATCTAACATAACATGATTGCGCTATGCCCACCTAGGTAGGAAGAGGACATACATTAGAATGCTTTCGAGTATCTAAGAATCTCACTTCATTTGTACGAAGTATGCGTGGACATTAGAACAAGGATTGGAAGGCCGCTCCATCTTCTTGACTTGCTTGGGCGACTTAGGTATGTACTTGGAAAGAACATTTGATGGGCCCGAGAATATCTATCCAATCCTAGTGTCACAAACAACAAAAAGAATGCCGTGTTGAGTGGCAATTGCTACAACTCATGACTTATGACTTGCTCGAGGAGCATCTAGCCATCCTACGGGAAATATGAAGTTGCACTGTATGCCTTTTCTACCCTTACACTGCTGAAAAGTATTGATATGTTATACATACCTAATCTTATAGTACTCCTTGTCCATCGGAAGATCATGCAGGGAAATTGGACGTGGTGAGATGAGATGAGATAAGATTGACATGGGAATAGCTTCATCTCTTGTCTCAAATTCTCAATGTAGAACATCCGCATCATCGTCGTGCAAGAAACACGGCCCAGTTCCTGCTTCTACGGAGTTCACCCTCCGTACTCCGTATATTCCATATCAAATAAGCCGATGATGACCATGTTGGTACTCGAAATCGGTAAATAACATGTTGCTACCTAGCTCAAACTATATCCAGGGGCTTTGCGACATGCATAAAGGCACGAGGCAAGGCAAAATGAGTGGAATACAACGCGAGGCCGGTTTCTAGCCTTGAAACCGCCCCGGCAGTGACAATCTACGGCACGACTCATCCCCTTAGGTGCGTTAAATGGGCTCCGTCGCTTAACAGGAGCGTATCAACCAATTAGATCATCAGAATTCCTTGATTTAATCCAATGTTTACATTCAATTTTTAATATAAAAACCAATCAATATAATTTCTATATCAAAATTTTGAATATAATAATATATACTAATTTTCAATCCTTAGTATTTTTTTAAATTTCAAAAAATCAAAAATGGAAATCAAGATTCTATATTATAAATAATGTGACTGAAAAACCATTAAAATAACTATTCTATCCAATAAGGCTTTATCATTCAAGGTATATCGCACGGACCACCTTCGGAGCCCATTTAACGCACGGATAGTTCTTGCGTTGTCAATCTCGCATTGGTATTAGACTCATAATACATCTCTTATAAGTCTTACAGTTGGGCTGGCACGCTTCATACTCAATCTTACCGACCTATGCGACTATTCGGACTCACCGCTGTCGCATGATTCTAGTATTCGTCTTACTATGGGAAAACGCATATAATCACTGATCACGAACGAGTCATTGCTTGTTTTCAAAAGCCAGCAAACAAGCAAAAGTCAAGCAAAAGTCAAGGCAAGAGAGGGAAAGGGAATGAACCAGACAAGGCCAATCCTTCCACCCGAGAGAATAATCCCAACAAACACACGCATTCTCCATGCGACAACAGAATCTCTCAGTCCTCATCAGCACAACAGAAAAAAGGTACCTACCTTCCTAATCTACAAGGTACTAGGTAGCTTTCGTCCAGCTTTTTATATCTGCAATACTCCAAAACGTCGCGGAACCCTTTCCGATATCCAAGTACGGAACCGTTTGTGAACATCTGACCTCTTTTTTATCTCTCCGCCTCAATTTAAGGAAGCGTCGTGTGACGTTCATCGTTACTGGTCTGAGGATGGGGGATGGTATTGTGTTACTCTCTCCAAATCCAGGAATCTAGACTGGCAATCTAGAGTAACAATCAGAACTTGGAATCCCAACAAACGAAACACATTTGTGATCCGGTACGACTCTTTTCACTAACCATGGGAAGTTTCAATTGGATCCATGGGAACATACCTAGGTAGACACCTACTCTGTATATCCGTACAAAGTTTTTTATATTGCATTTGGACATTTGAATATCTAGACCAAAGTTACCAATCTCTACGTAAGCGAAAAAACAGGCGGAAATTGAGTACCTTTCAAAGGACTTTTTTAATAGATTATAAATTCATTTCAAATTAAATATTGAAATTTAAAAAAAGCAAACGAAAATTTGAGTCTTCTTTGTATTGATTCTAAATGGTTTCATTATTTGATATTATATCGAAAAGAGCTCTTAGTTGTTGAAGGTCTTTTGAATGGTAATCAATTTCCGCCTGTTTTTTTGCTTACGTAGAGCCAATCCCCCGGATTTTGGACCCCACCCGGTACTTCTCCACACCACATGACTTACAGTACGATATATTACAACGGACAGTGATGGAGTTGTGAACTAGTACCATACTAAAGCAACTTTGGCAGGATAAACCGTCTATCAAACCTTTATTGGGAATTGACTCGAGCCTCGAGCCTCAAGCTTCATGCACTCATTAATTACTCTTGAGCAAGGCGGAAAATAGGATCTCTCTCATCCAACCACCCATCCCGCGTGTTTATCCCGAGGCCAGCAGAAAACGTGCCCCATATTCCATATTCCAATCAACCAAATCACTGTCTCAGAGGAACAGCACCCAACGACAACGTCCTAAACCGTCCGAGATCATATGACACGACCCAAAATCTAACAAAGTAAAGCAGAACAAAAATTTGCCAAACTCAGGGGGAAAACCATCCATCCAAAGCGATGCCGCCGAGCCGCCCCTTGCCCTTTTTTTTTCTTTCGCCCACGCACGCTCTTTGATACTCCACCCATGTCTCACGTATCCTGACCCGAGAAAACGCAAATTGTTCCTTCCAACCTTCTAGCTTCCTTCCTACTACTCACTAAAATGCTTCTAGAAAAGTGTTTCTTAATTTCGTTTTTCGTTTTCCGCTGCTCTTTTCTGCGTGGGTGGCGCCATCAGGACGAAAGATTACTGGGGGATTCCAAATTCTCACTCCCTTTTTCAAAAATCATACATCAAATCATCTCATCAGTATTTCGAAGCAAAATCTATCACAGAATATTTCCAAACGCATGATTAATAAATTTTCCAAATCCTATTATATTAGAATTATACTTCCATAGCATTATGTGATTATTAAACAAAGCCATTTTTTACTGAAAGGGGCTTGGGTTTTTTTTGGCGAGTCTATCTGGTGTCCCAATATTTTTCGCCCCGGCGTGGTGTGATGAAGGGGTAGGTAGGTGCTCCTCTTCGGCGCAGAGCAAGCCTCACAATATATTAACCTTTTTTTTTCCTTCGTCCTGGCCCCTGGTACAGCTGGCGGGCTCGGGAGGGGGAGAGAAGTCGGGATAACACACTTGGGGATTGGGCAGCAATCTTCTCATCTCATCTCCCTGCGTGTGGTGTGGTGTGGTGTTTGTCTACCCAGCGCACGCTTGTGAATGCGAATGTGTATTTGAAGGTGATTGTGATTGTGAAGGTGGGTGTGAAGGTAGATGTGGATATGGATATGCTCTGCCTAGGTACGTGGGTACATAGGTATGTCTCTTCTCTGGGGTGAGCCTCATGTTTTTTATCGGTGAAAACTATGAATGGCTTCGAGGATTTTTCTGGGCTTACTCTGCTTACTCTGCTTGTTCTGCTCCCGCCAATAGCACATAGCACATAGCACAGGTAGATTTTGTGCCAGCGAGAGAAATACCAGGGATATCGTATCGAACCAATCGGTAACTGACATTCCACAACACTATCATTAGCAATACCTGACTGGAACAGCTTTGTATGTCTGTATGTCTGTATGTCTGTACGAAGGATGTGTGTGCATCATCGGATTCGGCAAATTTTGTGTTCTACATACCTACCATACCTAGGTACTCTAGAAACCAAATCAACACATCTCAATACTAGGTAGGTATTTCAATAGGTACCTAGGGATTTTGATTTTCGAATTGCTAATGGAAGCTCACGAGTAGCAATATTGATATTCCGTTTCAGAATCAATATGTTAGAATTTTTCAATACATACATACATACATACATAAATACTAGGTACATACTGTGATTGTAACTGTAAACTGTAACTGTAACTCGGATTTAAAGGGTACCTACCAAGTAGGTAGGCACCTCACCTGGACACCCACCGAGTATTTCTCACAATTCAACATCCATCCTAATCAAATTCAATATTCAACATCCCTCACTCTCCAGTCTTCAGTCTTCAGTCTTGCAATCCCCAGTTGAATATTCATATAGGTAACCTATATAGATACCTACTCAGTTGTCCCTTAAGTTCACAAGATCTATTGCGATCGAAAACGTACTCATTGATTCCTTCATTTGTTATCCCATCCCATCCCATCCCATCCCATCCCATCCCATCCCATCCCATCCCATCCCATCCATTACAACCCCCCAGAACTCAGCCAAACCCAAAACACCAAAACCACTCCGTGTAGCACCAACCCCCATGAGAGAAAAAATAATTCACTCTTCCCCCTGACCCTCAAGGGTCTAAAAAGTCACGAGTTCATTCGGAGAATTGTTTTTTGCTGCTGTGTAATGTGGTGTGATGTTGTAGTTCGCGCTGTATGCACAATGAAATGGGGAAGAAAAGTGATGTTAGGTGGGGGGTTTACACGTGATATCGTGAGGCATGGTTGCAGGAGTCAAAGAGAGATAGATGAATGGATGGATGATCTTGTGATATTTCGGAAGGTTACACGAGTGTCAAGCGGGTATGTAGGTAGGATGCGTAAGTAATATCACACTGAATGTCAAGGTGAAGTCTGCTGTTGAAAGAAATTTCATAAGTTCGTCATGCTACATTAAGCCGAGTAGGAAGGGGAAGGAAGCAGTAAGCCATTTCCACCTATATGACTCGGGTTCGAAGATCTAATGCTTTTGTGAACATAAGAAAAGGCGCTATAAACACACTTGATGACCCGTTGAAGAACAAGGATCGATTATGTGAGAGTGTAACCTCCATCTACTCGTAAATCGGCTGGGGTGGTGTCAGCAAGTTGATTCAAAGGGACTCTGCGGAGAAAAATGTTCTTACCTCCAGTAACGTAGTTAGACGCGTCTGACGAGAGGAAAGTGACGGCGCCCATAAGGTCTTCGGGCTGACCCATCTTACCCTGGGGAATAAGGGAAGTCCATTGCTTCTTCAGTTCTGGGTTTTCATCCAAAATCTTCTTGGTTCTATTGTTTCCGTAATTAGTATTGGCTTACATGAAAGAAAAATTAAACCCCCACGGGGTCTTTCTGGGGTTCAGATCTTACAATGCAGTCAGCATATATCCAGGGGAGATGCAGTTGACTCGGATGCCAGCGTGAGCCCATTCGACAGCCAAGGATGAAGCGAGATGTCGGACAGCAGCCTTGGCCGCGTTGTACGGCGCTTGAGGTTGTGGAACATTGACAATGGCACCGGACATACTGCCAATAAACACCATGCTTCCTGGAGACTTACGCTCCATCAAGTGTTTTGCAACGGCAATTGCAAATAGGTATGTTCCATCCACGTTAACACCCCAGAGTTTTCTAACTCGATCGATTGGGTAGTTGATGGCTTCAAAATTCTCAGTGAAGCCGGCTGATGTCACTAAGTTATCGATTTTTCCGTGCTGGGAAATAATTTCGGCAATAGCAGCATCGACGGATTCTTGAGAAGAGACGTCTGCGTAATGAGCGGTAACCTTTGGAACCCTAAATTGATGTGTAAGCCTTTAGTTACAAGATCAAAGTAGCAATGCTCTTCTTACTTTTCTGCTCCTGGGTTCTCTCTCTTGAATGAAGCAACAAGTTCTCCTGCTTGTTTTTCGGCTTCTTCCTCTGTTGCATTATTAGCACAACATCAGCTTGACATTCGTTGATGGCACGTACTATTCATATCCACAATTGCAATATCAGCACCACTAATAACCATGGCTTGACTCATGACAAGACCCAAGCCTCTGGCACCTCCGGTAACGACACCAACTCTTCCTTCCAAAGAGAAAGATGCAAGTGTACGCTTGAAGTGAAGCCCACCTCTGCCTTGTACTGGCTTACTGGATGGCAAATCATGTTCTTCTGGGTATTCGACATGTACAGAGGAATCGGTTCGTGCAAAAGAACCTTCGTGGGGTGGATCATCAAGCTTCTCGCGAAGGGAAGCTGTGCTGTGAATTGGTCTCGAGGATAGAGCTGGTAATGTGCGAGATGAAGCTGCCTTTGTTGAAGCTCTGGCAGCACGAGCTGTATGTCTAAGAAGTTGTGATCGGAACATCGTTGACGTGTTTGTTAAAAGAAAAGATCCAAAATGTGGCGGCCAGGCTAGATAGTCTCTACAACGGAATATCTGATTTGGCTGAGATAATTGAATCAAGTTATAAACAGGGCACTAAATTCACAATATTCAAAAATATTCGTTCAAAGTCAATTGAAGAGTGAAAAGGTTTGATGGACAATGAATGCTCTTGTACGAAATGAAAAGGATTCTCGAGAAAATTGGTACTTAGTTTAAGAAGGTCCTTGGTACTTGACGTAGAGTGAAAACAGAAATGATAGCTACCTACTACGAGTATGTACCAAGGGTTGTTGACATCATCTGACAGTGCAGCTCCCCAAATCTCTCCACTCATAATGGATACAGTTGGTATTTCAGTGGGGGTCGCCCATTGCTGAATCGATTCGGTCTGAGTGTTGCGACACCGAAAGCAAGGGAAACAAAAGAAGCTCAATGCCCAGACCCCAGAATGAGGAAAAGATATGGAGAAAAGAGTGGCAAAAGTAGGAGGGAAAAAAGGTCAAGAGGGTATACATCGTGAGATGTGATTGTTGAGGCTTCAATACTTGCAAGAGAAAT